CTGAGGAAAAGGGCGTTGTGTGGGCGGGAACGAGAGGGTGTGGGGCGTTGTTGCCTGGGGAAAGGGCGTGTGGGCGTTGTTGCCTGGGGGAGAGGGCGTGCGGCGGATGGAGTGCGGGAAAGTATAATACGTACTAGTTGTCCTTAACCATCAAGTTTGCGGCGCCCGGACGATGCAAGCGCTAGCAGGGATCGCGAGAAAAGCAAGACGGATGGGCGGAACGGTGTGTGAGGGAGATACAAAGGGCGTGTGGTGTGTTTGCTTGCTGCCAGGGCGGGCGTGCTTCTTGCTTTTAGGCTTGCTTTTGATCATCTGATGGGGGGGGAGGGGGGGGGGGGCTGTTCTCTTCTTTGGGTGGTCTTGTTAAGTTTGTCTTGGGATATAAAGCTTGATTAATAATCCTTGATTAATTTTGAATTGAAATGCAGAGAGAGTAAGTATAAGAAGAGGCTGAATTCTTGTATGCTTGAATTCTGGCTATATGTACGTATATATATATATATATATATATATATATATATATATATATATATATATATATATATATATATATATATATATATATATATATATATATATATATATATATACATATATAATACATATATTATATATAAATATATATATATATATACTATATATATATATATATATATATATATATATATATATATATATATATATATATGTTGTTGTGTGTGTGTGTGTGTGTTGTGTGTGTGTGTGTGTGTGTGTGTGGTGTGTGTGTGTGTGTGTGTGTGTGTGTGTGTGTGTGTCGGTGTGATGTGTACACATATAACATATACATATATATATATATATATGTATCTAGATAGATAGAGAGATGCATTTTACAGTATTCCTATCTTTAATCTTCATTTTTAGCATTTCTCTGCAATCAAGTTTAAAATCCTTATTCCATGTGCAACGCATTGGTTGTCTTTCCTTTTGTGTTTCTTTTTATGTCCAGTTTTATTGAATTAAACTCTCTACAAACCTATTCTAACGATTTTGGCTTTATTCTTTTTTCAAAACACGCTTAGAAAGCAGACAAACGTACCACAAATAATGAAAACAAACAAAGAGAGAAAACAAACAAAGAAAGAAAACAAAGAAGAAAGAAAACAAAAGAAAAAAAGAAAACAAGAGAAAGAAAGAAAACAAACAAAGAAAGAACACAAACAAACAAAGAAAACAAACAAACAAAGAAAACGAAGAAAGAAAACAAACTAACGAAGAAAACAAACAAAGGAAGAAAACAAACAAACAAATAAAACAAACAAAGGAAGAAAACAAACAAAGAAAGAAAACAAACAAAGAAAGAAAAACAAACAAAGAAAGAAAACAAACAAACAAAGAAAGAAAACAAACAAAGAAAGAAAGAAAACAAAACAAACAAAACAAACAAACAAAACAAACAAAAAGAAAACACAAATAAAGAAAAAAAACCAACAAACAACAGAAGAAAGAAAACAAACAAACAAACAAAGAAAACAAACAAACAAAGAAAAACAAAGACAGAAAAACATAGAAAGCAACAAACAAAAGAAAGAAAACAAACAAACACCTACAGACAAAACGCGCCACAAACGCGAAGCAAAAACAAAGGATTCACTTTCGAGGAGAACGCCGTTGCAACAAGAATAAAATCCATATCTCTTAAGTTCTGCCCTCGCTTCCCCCTTCTTCTCCCCTCCTCCTTCTCTTCCCCTCCTTCTCCCTTCCTCCTTCTCTTCCCTCTTCCCCCCTCCTCCGCTTCTTCTCTCCTCCCCCTAATCCCTTTTCCACCTCTTCCCCCTCCTCTTCCCTCCTCCCCTTTTCCCTCTCCTCTTCCCTTCTCCCCTTTTTTTCTTCTCTCTCCTCCCCCTTCCACCTCTTCCTCTTCCCTCTCCCTTCTTCCACTCTCCTCTTCCCCTCCTCTCTCCCTTTTCCCTTCTCCCTTCTTCCCTCCTTCCTCCCTTTCCTTCTTCCACCTTTTCCTCTTCCCCACCTCTCTTTCCTCCTCCTCTCCTCTTCCCTTTCTTCACCCTCTCCTTCCCCCCCCTCTTCCCCTTTTTCCTTCTCCTTTCCTTTCCTCCTCCTCCTCTTCCCCTCCCTTCTCTCCTTCCCCCTCTCCCCTCTCCTTCCTCCTCCCCCCTTCCCTCTTCCACTCTCCCTTTTTCCCTCCTCCTCCTCTCTTCCCTCTCTCCCTCTTCTTCCCTCCGCCTCTTCCCTCCTCCTCCTTCTTTCCCTCTTCCCTCCCCTTCCCCTCTCTCCCTCTTCCTCTTCTTCTTCCTTCTTCCCTCTCCTTCCCTCTTTCCTTTCCCCTTCTCCTCCCCTTCCTCCTCCTTCTTCCCTCTTCCCTTCTTCCCTCTTCCTCCTCTCCTTCCCCTCTCCCCGTCTTCCCCTCTTCCAATTCCCCTTCTACACCGAGAAGGGAATAAGAGCGTGTTATAAACGTGTTTGGCAGCCCGTATAAAAGCGTCATTGTGGTTCACTGATCTCTTTGGTGGAAGTATAA